CTGAAAAAGATATCTCAAACGCGGTGGTCCAGCTGTAGGTAGTATTCTACAATAAGCTGCCATGGTTTGTGTCTGAACAACCTGAAAAAGATATCTCAAACGCGGTGGTCCAGCTGTAGGTAGTATTCTACAATAAGCTGTCGTGGTTTGAACTATCTGCCGAAAAAGATATCTCAAACGCGGTGGTCCAGTATAGGTAGTATTCTACAATAAGCTGTCGCGCTTTGTGTCTGAACTACCTGAAAAGATCTCTCAAACGTGGTGGTCCAGCTTAGGTAGTATTCTACGCACGTAAAAACGCACAAGTTGTAACAAACCTGCAGCAGACTTGTAGCAATGCTGTTCCAACTACTATGTCAACAGGATGTGTTCGCACTGCTTGTTCCCAGTTTGTTGACAAGTTGTCAGCGGCTTGTTGACAACTTGCTACAAGGTTGTTGAGCTCAACAGACTTGTTACAAGTTGTTCCAACAACTTGTTATCGTCCTGCATTTCAACAATTTGTTAACAAGTTGTGATCCGAATGACAAGCTTGTGTAGCAACTTGATAAAATAACAGCATTGTTACAACTTGTTGGCAAGCTTGCTGCAAGCCTGTTGCGAACACATCTTGTTGACAAGTTGTGAGATTTTTACGTGTGCACAAGACTAAAAAGGACAATTTTCAAAACAGGTCAATGACGTGACAGAACATACCCGCCTCGTTTATCCAGTCAACATAACCATGCAAGGATTCTTCCAAAAGTTGCTTTTCACGGAATTTTTGAAACTCGCCACTTTTCTGAGCACGTTCCTTCTCTTTTGCAAATTCTCTGAAAAAGTACATAAACTCCGTAACACTTATCCTAGCTTAAATTTCATACAATTATTAGACGTAATAAGTTCTTTGTAGGTTTGCATGGCGATAAAACATAGAATACTTTTTGTTTGTGGAAACACCACGTAAATTTATCCGGGCTTACGAATCGAAGGCTTTGCAGTAATAAATTTACGTGATGTTTCCACAAACAAAAAGTATTATATCAGACGTAACTACAATCTTGGCCAAAAATTCGTAGAACGACAAAACAAATTCGCAACTTTTTAATATACTTGGGTTTTAAAATCATTTTGCACCTGCCCCCGCTCCCCCCATTCAATGTTGGTCTCCCACATTTTTAGTACACGTACAATTTTGTTGTACAGTAGGTCATATCGTAAATATACACGAAACGGCA